GTCCAATGTATTGAAATGTACGAATTAAGTAATGCGATGTACTTTACTGTTGAAAGTATATTTTATTTTTTATTTTTTTTTTTTTTTATAGAAGAGGGGGCAAACGAGCATGTGGCTCACCTGATGTTAAGTGACTACCGCCGCCCATGATCAACTGCAACACCAGGGGAATTGCAGATGCGTTGCCGGCCCTTTAGAAAGGAGTAAGCTCTTTTCTTGAAGGTCCCCAGGTCGTATCGGTCCGGAAAAATCGCTGGTGGTAAATTATTCCACAGAGAGGTTGTACGCGGAAGAAAACTCCTTTTGAAACGTACAGTGGTGGACCGCCAAGCATCCAGATGGTGTGGATGGTATCGGGACGTTTGCCGCGTAGTGCGTTCACGAAATTTGGTGACTGGGATTAATCCGAACAATTCCTCAGAGCACTCTCCATGGTATATGCGAAAGAAAATGCAAAGGGATGCAACATCTCTTCGCAGTGCCAGAGAATCGAGCCGATCGGAAAGCACTCGGTCGTCGACGATTCGAGCCGCTCTGCGCTGGATGTGGTCAAGTGTAAGGAGCTGGTACTGGGGAGCCCCAGCCCAGAGATGGGAACAGTATTCCATGTGCGGCCGAACCTGCGCCTTGTAAAGTTGCAGGCGGTGTGCCGGCATGAAATACTGTCCCGCTCTGCTGAGCACGCCAAGCTTTTTAGAGGCCAATTTGGCCTTCCCTTACAAGTGACCACGAAACTGCACGTCACTCGATATGTCGACGCCGAGGATTCCGATACTGGCTGAGGCAACAAGGGGAGTGCCTTGAAACTGAGGGGATACGACAAAGGGGTTCTTTTTAGCGGTTAACGCGCAAACTTGTGTCTTCTGGGGGTTAAACTGGACTAGATTTAGTCGCCCCCAATCCGAGACTCTGTCCAGCAGAGACTCGACTTCAGACACAAGTTTGTCCCGGCACTCGGAGACGTTTTCCCGAGAAATATTGGCTCGGCCGGAGTAAAGAGCATCACTAGTGCTGTCATCTGCATAGCAATGAATGTTACGGGTCTGCAACATATCATTGATATGCAGAAGAAACAGCGTTGGCGATAGCACGCAGCCCTGTGGAACACCAGCATTAATAGGCTTGCAATCGGAGCTTGCACCGTCTACAACGACCTTGATGCTCCGATCTGCAAGAAAACTGGTGATCCAATCGCACAATTTCTCGGGAAGCCCATAGGAAGGGAGCTTCGAAAGAAGCGCTTTGTGCCAAACCCGATCGAAGGCCTTCGCAATGTCCAAACTAACGGCCAATGCCTCCCCCTTGGACTCTACTGCCTCCGCCCATCTGTGAGTTAGGTAGACCAGAAGATCACCAGCTGACCTACCACGGCGAAAACCGTATTGGCGGTCACTAATCAGCTGGTGATCCTCAAGGTACCTCATGAGCTGGCAGTTTACAATGGACTCCATTGTTTTGGAGAACAAGGAGGTGATGGCGATGGGCCGGTAGTTGGACGGATCTGAGCGGTCGCCTTTTTTAGGGATCGGGTGGACGAAAGCCGTCTTCCATGATTTTGGGACTACGCCTAGGGAGTAGGAGTACCGGAAAAAACGCGTTAAAACCGGTGCCAACTCTGGAGCACACGTCCTCAGCACAATTGGGGGGATTCCGTCAGGCCCACTCGACTTGCGGATGTCCAGGGAGAGGAGTGCTTTGCGAACCGAGCGCTGAGTGAACTGCACTTCCGGCATGGAGCACTCACACCGCGGGATGGTCGGCGGCGTACTCCCCCCGTCATCAAGAGTCGAGTTAGACGCAAAGAAAGAGCCTAGAAGATCGGCTTTCTCCTTTGCGGTGTGGGCCAGTGAGTCGTCCTCCCTGTGCAGAGATGGAAGAGATGGCTGACAGAAATTCCCCTGGACAGCCTTGGCGAGAGACCAGAATGTACGGGTTCCAGAAGGAAGACGAACTAGTTTCTCGCCAATTCTGCCTATGTGCTCTGACTTTGCCTTGGCAATGACTCTTTTGAAGGACCTAGAGGCGGAATTATACTTCTTTTTTAGAGCGCTGGTGTTTACATCCCTGGACGCTGATGCGTCAGCCCTGGCCTGGATTTATGGATTAAATCTAAATCTACTTACTCTAAGAGTGCCTCAAATGCGTAAATCTATACATTTATGTTTTTGAGGCACTGTGGATTTATTTCCGATTACGGCAAATAGAAACTTGATAAAATGTTTTTGGAATCAAACAAAGAAACGTTAAATTACATTAGTACATTTCACTTTACTTTGGTCGTCAGTTTCTCTAAAATAAGTCCAAATAGTAAGTCTCCTGCCGCTCATTTTTATCATATAATTATTAATTTTCACTAAGAATAAAATTCTTACAGCTCTTTACCTTATTCACTAAGAATAATGAGCCATGGTAGCTCAGATGGTTAGCGCTCGCTGTAAATTTCACAGTGCACGACCAAACCGAGTTCGATCCCCGCTGGCACCAATGAAATTATTAATTGCAATTTTAAGCGCTGATTTACAAAAATTTTGAAAACATCGTGAGGAAACCTGCATGTCTGAGAAATAAGAAAAAAATTATTTCGAAGACATGTAAAGTTCGCCAACAAGCATATTGGGGCAGTGCGGTGGACAATTCCTTGCCCTATAACCCTCTCAGAAATGAGCGGAGGCCTGTGACCAGGAGTGGGACGTATATAGGCTATAACTTCAATTATCAAAAATATTCACAAGAATAGTCAAAACATAAGCATGTGCGGGCAATTTGCTCAGTACTAGATAATGCAATATCATGTCAGGTGTGGCGGGAAGCGAGAGACAGGGTCCGGCGCTAATCCCGTGTGCTTACAGTAACAAGTTTCGACATAAATTGGTTAAGTCCCGAGGTTATCCTGCCGAATAATGTTCGGCCGAATATTCGGTTCGGTAAAAATTTTACCGAATAATCGGCCGAATATTCGTATTCGGTGAAATTCATATTCGGCCCATCCCTAATCATTAGCCTGTCATTATTATTTTCTATAAAAATAAAGTGACAATCAAACTTACAGTCCAATTTATGCTGTAGTGCATTATGACTGCATCATTAGGAGACTTACTACTCGTGTATCATATTTAAAAAATGACCAAGACTCACACAAATAGCTTGTTGAGCTATTAATTGGCGAGGAAGAAAGATGCTTAGGTGATAGTGTCTTACTGGCAAGTGCAGTGTAAAGTGAACCTTCATGTGTGTAGCAACACAGATTTGTGGCAGCCTTAGGCTTCAAGGCGAGGTGTATGTGACTTGAGATGGAATTACAGCGATGATGTTGTGTATAATATAAATCTGGCTAGGAATGTTGTATTTCATCAAAAATGTAAACAGATTTTATAGATAGAATATAAACAGAATTACATGTGTGTGTTGAAGCTACGCCGAAACTGGTTTGATAAGTCGATAACGGCCGCTCGTCATTGAGCACCACCGCATACTACAGACGCATACAAAATTTTTACTATTTTATAGATAGAATATAAACAGAATTATATGTGTGTGTTGAGGCTACGCCAAAATTTTTACTATTTATTTATAATACGATCATCTGTCAATGGTTTATGATTTTAATCGAAATGCTAGACTAGATAAAACATGAACATATAACCCTTCGAGCCGGATTGTACGCGTTATATCAGGTATTACAACTGAACATAATTTGTCACAACTATGTTAAGTTGTGCACTGTAACGACTTTAGTTGTGCACTGTAACTACTTGAGTTTTGGACTGTAACGGCTAAAATGAAATGTTTCTTTACTAGTAAAAAGGTGTAGCAAAATTTAGAATCATATTGTTAATTGATTCTTCTATCCTGTACTGGCGTGGTTTTTCTGTTAGTTCCACTAATTTCTGAATCTTACATTAGTTATGAAAAGCCGGTACCCGTTAACTTTCACATTGGATTGTGGAGGTAGTTTATATAAATTAATTGCACAAGGATAAATATCCACACCCGAAACAATTATTTGTAGGCTTTACAAGTATTTGTTCCGTGCGGAAGTCGAATCCGCGACACTCACGCCGTAACTCAAAGCTAAGCCACTGCGTCACAGAGTTTTTAATGCCAACGTGATTACTAAATAATAAAGAAAATCTTTAATAACTATTTAATAATGACATTATTGCGAACTATTTTCATTCGACGCTTAACTGCCACTATGAACAAATTCAATCAATCAATTCAATTTTTTTAACTCTTTAATAAGTGAATAAGACTTAAAGTACAATAATTCTCCAGATGGGAGGAAATAAAAACTTTTTATTTAATATAGATTTTAAATAATACTAATTCAAAGTCACTCTTTGTGTAATTTATCACTGGTTCGACATATACCTCTCTCCTAGGATACGTGGTACCCCATGAGCTGATAGTTAACAATCGATTCCATTATTTATAAGAGTATACAGATTTTGGGCGAGCAATAGTTAACAATCGATTCCATTATCTTAGAGAATAAAGAGGTGATAGCGACAGGCTTATAATTGGACGGATTTAGTGGCTACCATTTTTAAGGATCGGATGCACAAAATCTATCTTCTACAGTTTCATAACAACGCCTGAAGAGGAGAGGTGCCACAAAAACCCCGTAACAACTGGCGCTAAGTCCAAAAGATAAGTACCCTTAACACAATTGCAGAGCTTCCTTCGGGTGCTTCTGAGCTCTCGCTCCAAAATCCAGCGTAGAACGTCGGCGGTATGTTCTCTAAGGCCAGACCATAATCCACCAGTTTCCGAATGAAAGAGCACTGATTTCTTACCAATACTGACTATGCCTTGGCAATAAGTCTTTTGAAGGACAATCGTAATTTTTAAGTACGCTAATATTCACATCCCATCGACCAAACCAAGAGTGAGATCTACCTCCGATGAGTACCACAGATGATGAAAGATGAAGGAATATAAAATAATGTTATCAGCAACTAGTGATGGAATTAATTGTAGGAAAAGAAAAATGTACTTACGGAATCATTAGTGCCTGCGGGTCTGGCGCATGGCGGCTTTACAACCAAATCTTCATCACTGCTGCTTGTTTCAGCTAACTGAAAATAAATATTCAAATATGGATCACTAAGAAAATTACTGTCTATATATTTCACACATTTTAAAAAAAACGAATTTTCAATTCAGCTTTATATCTTTTGTTAATGTTTGTAACACGATATAACAAAAGGAGGCTGCAGAAAGTTAAAGGCATAAAAGAGAGAGAGAGGTCGACAGACAACCCAACCCGAAGCTGGAGATTAGATCAGAAAGACTAAAGACTAGGTTAATCCATCGAATTTAGTATATGCTTTATAATATAAAAAGTTTCTGCACTGTTAATCAATGCTGAACGCGTACCTGTTTTGGGCCTTCTTTGAGAGAAGTGGAATAGACCGTGAAGCAAGAGACAGAGCGTATTTAAAATTCTAATTGAAAGCCTTTATACACTAAAAGTATACGCCGTTGTGGAGAATGGATGTACATATGTATGGGGGTGATAACGTAATCCATCACCCGTGGGTGTCGTAAAATGTGATATAAGCCTCCCCAATAGATTGCCTGTTGCCATGCTTGGCAAGCGAGTTGGCAACCGCAGTTTTTTATTATAGTCCTTATTAAGAAGATGCTGCTGCCCATCTCCTGAATTGTTTCTCTCTGTTACGACACCCACGGGATGTGATTTGGTAGTAGATATTCTTACACCTCCACTACACGGTACTATAGGAAATGTCAAAAAAACCTTAAGCCTCCGATAGATGGCAGTAGCCAATGCCTGATACTCGGCATCCATACCGTTTGGGGCAAATTCTCCGTACAGTGTGAGAGGCCAGCTTATAAGGGATAGGATAAAAAATACAATTTGCTTACTTCATCACCATGATCAAGACGCCGAACCCTTCTTTCTCGATCTGCGTCGTCACTGTCGATTCCACTGTCTTCTCTTTCAGAGAACAATGGAATCAACAGCTCATTGTGAATTTCGTTCGCCCCCGCCAGCTTGATTGACGTTTATTCACGTTTAGGCAAACCTTAAAATATATTTTATTTGAGCATAATTTTCATAGGAACAACTATTTATAACCACAATTCCTATATATATAATACTTCTTTTAAGGTATCGTTTTAAATTTTATCTTTATACGTTAAGAATTATTTTTGTTTTCTAAGCTGTAATTAATTTCTAATAGCTCTTTCATTTTTACGATTGACTAGTGATCCGTGCCGGCTTTGCACGGTGGATTTCTGGATCTCGTCCACAGCGCCACCTACCGGGTCTAATTTTTTTTTTAGAAAAGGGAACAAACGAGCATGCGGCTCACCTGATGTTAAGTGACTACCGCCGCCCATGATCAACCACAACATCAGGGAAAACGCAGGTGCGTTGCCGGCCAAAACCAATTGTGAATTTGAACCATCCACTCAAATGCACACAAAAATTTCGAGCCTTTTTTTAAGTTTTTGCGACAATAACGAACGGCAATAGATTTTTATATATAGAAATAATATCATAGGAATCGCTGACTTTGTCAAACATAGCATTTATTCCAGATCGATCTTTCTAAAAAGCTGGCAACCGACCTGCAATACTTCAGATGTTGCAGAGGTTCATGGCTGGCAATGATCACTCACCATCAAGTATGGTCGTATGCCTCCATTTCCATAAAAAAAAGAAAAAGTAAAACAATACCATATAAATTGACATTTCACATAGATGACATATTTATTATTTACCACTTTCGTGGACAATACATTAGTTGATATAATACATAGACATCACGCAATGATGATTTAGAATCAATCACTTGTAATTTATAGCAGCTAAGTACGTGTTAATTTTAATGCGAGACGGCGAAGAATTGATTATGTAGACCTAATCTACACATCAGTGATGTTATTTCCATACGAACACAAATAACTAACACGAGCAAAATACACTTAAATCACAGTTGTCATAAATAGTAATATTTTACTTTTACTCACTGAGAATAAAATGCTGTAGCCTAGATTTTTATAAAACCGGCAATATAGAATTGAAACGCTGTAGACACGTATAACTTTACTCCTGTCTCCTGTGGATGAACACTGGAGTTCTAGGGGAGCCCTCCCTCCGTTACCATGACAACCGGGTTATGCGCACGCACTACAAATTGTTGCTTGCGATATTAAGTCAAATACATTTACAAATTAATGAAACTCAGTTGTTACACAAAACAGTTTGAATAATTTAACTCTCATTGTAATTATTATGTGCCTCAATTATTCAATTTAGAGGTTTAGTATGGCTCCAAAGAAGGTATGAATTTTATTTACTTCTAATTACTTTTCATAAAAAATCTTATAATTTAATAAATTTCTCATGGGGTCATTGTGCTAAGTAAAAGTAAATTAATTTATAGTACCTACTATAGCTTTATTTTATTAATAATCGTAATTTATTAATATATATTATTATTTTTATATAATATAATTATTCTCTAAACGAGTGAGTGTCAAAAAGTTGCGTAACGGTGACGTTAAAAAAATGGATTAGGTACGTGCATAAATACTAACATTCTATAGTATAGATCCACTAGAAACAGTACTATATAAAATATAACAAATAAACACCATTATTGGCACAAGAACTATATAGCCATTTGCGAGTCTCGGCTTGGTCGATTGTAGTAAAACACAACCGGACCATATTCATAGCCTTGTCTATTAATCCTTTAGGAATGAAAAAGGACAGTAGAAAAAGCTACTAAAACGATTAGTAAACCTAAAAAAGCTAGAGAATTACGTTTAAGACTTCTTCACAATTGTAAAAAAGATGTATGTAGTTTGTTGGATGTTTCACTTGACGTTCTTACGACGTTAAAAGCATTCTATGCCACTCAGAATCCTTCTATTTTCTTCTTCTTCTTCAGTCAGTTTATTCATTTTTACTCCGCAGAACCTACACCCTTGCATCGGTAATGCTGCTGGGAGATGTGTTCGGTATTTTCGGGCAATTTTTACGCAATCAGTCGGTTGCCATAGTGGTGCACCGCATGCAGATGAATTTTTTTATAGAATAAGGGTGACAAATGAGCACACAGTCCACCTGGTGGTAAGTGGATGCTGTGGTACATAGACATCTATATTTATCCTCGATGCGTTGTCACCCCTGAGGACTAAAATTGAATGTATTCGTTTCCAGTAAAAAAGGGTCCGTGTGTGAAGTGAACATATGATTTTTTTAATTTTTCTTACACTCTTTTTTATTTATGTACACACAAAAAGACACAGAAACAATTATACAATTAGTTAAGTAATTAATAAAGGTACTGTTTATTCTTTTTTTATAGGATAGGGTGACAAACGAGCACACAGTCCACCTGATGGTAAGTGGTTGCTGTGGCCCATAGACATCTACATCTATCCTCGATTACGAATCAAAATGCAGATGCGTTCTCACCCGTGAGGACTAAGATGGAATGCCTCGTTTCCAGTAAAAAGGGTCTCCATATTCCATAATAAATAATGAATTATCTTTCAAAATGGGTCTACAAGCAAATATATTAAAAAAGACAAACAAAGTGCGTACATTTTTAATAAAAATAATTTTATAGAATAGTTATGACGGGAGATTACGACACATCTTCGCGTCACGTTCCTCAAAATTTAAAACAACTTTTGATGGAATGCAATAACGATGATTATGAAGACGAAAGCAATATTACATAAATTCTAATATGAAAAAGCAAAGCTACAACCTATATGCTTCCAAACCTCCTGTTATTTTTGAAAAGATTATGGAGCAATAAGTCGACCGCCTATAGCATACTCAAAATTGCAAATAACAATTTCATTGGTGCCGGCAGAGATAAAACTCGAGTTGCTCGTCCACTGTGAAATTTACGGCAGGCTTTAAGGTACGGACAGACGTGCTAGTAATACGTATGCTTATTTTGAGCATGCACTATAATCAACCAACGTTTGATTTTCGAGCATGCTACCTGAGGCGCGGGTAGAAGGACATGCTCCGAGCGCATCTGAACTGAAAAAACTTAGATTTTTCTTCTTATACTATATCTTTGTACATCCATTTCTGTGCCAAGTCTGGTGCCAAATAAGCACGTCTCAAGCTTTAAGCGTGCTTATTGCTGGCAAATGTAAACAGTTGCAGAGCATGCTCATTTTAAGCAAGCTTATGAGCATGCTTTTTTGAACAAGTCTGTACGTACCATAATGAGCACGTCTGTCCGTACTTTTATCCATTGAGTGTGACCCCTATATCACCATAATATACCTTTATAACCTAATATACAGATACCTATATAATTGTGATTAATCATCGTCATCAATATTCTTATTATTCTTAGATATTTTATTTTTTATATTTTTTTTTATATTTTCTTACGTGGTAGAGCCATGCTACAGCTATATTAATGGTATAGTTATAGCACGAATAGGTCGGCTTGATCGGGGTAGAACCACGCTCTCAGAGAAAACCAACGTCTAATAGCAGCTTAACGCTGCTGTTACGTATGGTGAGTGTAGTGAACCGGAGACCCTTTTTACTGGAAACGAGGCATTCCATCATATTCCCCACGGGTGACAACGCATCTGCATTTTGATTCGTTATCAAGAATTGATTTAGATGTCTATGGGCCCACTTACCATCAGGTGGACTGTGTATTCGTGTACTTATTCAGAACTAGACTAGACACAACATAATATAACATAAGAGATGTTGAGAAGAGCACCTCCCGCCTTCCCTCTTGCGTGCGATATCCTCGTCAACATTAATCCCAGTACCATTACTCCTAACACCACTAAACTAAAAAACACACCATCGTCAATAATACGACACGTGTTTCGCAGTGGCATCTTCAGGTAAAATAGATTCGGATATATACATACAATTGTGAGAGGGTGGGAGGTATTCTTCAAACTAGGGCCCGGTTTACATTTTGAGAAGTGACAAGTGCGAGTGGCTAGTGCAAATGATAAATGACAAGTGCTTAGTGCGAATTTTATTTACACATATCGCTTGTCACTGCCTATTCACACGCACTAAGCACCTGTCATTTGTCATTTACACTTGCCCCTCGCACTTGTCACTTCTCAGAATGTAAACCGGCCTTTAGTAAGACACATCATTTTATTTTATTACACGAATTTTAGCTTATTAAGTTTTAACCTCTTTCATATAATGGATTTCCGCAAAGCAACGCCTGATTCTATTATTTACAACTTATAATAACATAGCTCTAAAACACTTATTACTTTTGTGACACCCAATATGATACGATTAATTACCTCGCCTTAATGAGAATGACTTAGCAAGACTTTACATGTAATTATATCTCACTGTTCCATGCCACATCGCACACTTCCTGCTACAGCACTGATTAACGTACTCACTGATTACATAATGGGAATATTTCGAAATTTATTAAAAATCAATTATCACGCAGTCACAGTCTAAGAAGAATAGTTAGACTGTGACGCAGTAGTTCAACTTTATGACACTAATGCCCAAATACTCAAACTTAGTTAAATAGTTAGTATTTATCCTATTTAAGAATTTTGTTGTAACTACCAGGGCGTCATAATCGCATCAGTGACAAAGCCCTTTTTCGAAAAAGTTATCGTAGAGATTTTGAGGTTACCTTTTATTTTTATGAAATATTACTATGTTATTACTAATGTAAGCAGTTCAGTCTTAGCCTAGCACTTATACGGTAAATAAAACTTAGGTTGTGATTAGGTATTTGTTTTATTCATACCAATTAAATACAATTTATACACTCATTTGGCAAACAAAGTAATGATTGATACTATCAACCATCATTACTTTCGAGCAAAATATTATTCAAGAACTGAGCAGGGGGTTGATATTTTCTTGGTATCGGGCCCAACTTAAATACCATATTATGGTCATAACATGGGCGTAGCAACCTATAGTTCTGGGCCCAACAACACAATTAGGTTATTTTTTATTGCCTCCCAATTTCTGACTCATCAACCAAAATGTATACAAAATAGGTTTTACTACTAATATGGCGGCTATGTATTCTCCCTATCAAGAGCCATATATTTTCAGAATGTAGTAAATGTGATTCACCAATCAGTAATCAACTCCTGTTCGACCTCCATGCAAACTTCAACAACATAATTACCGATCGCACGTCTGACGCCTATCTATTTTATCGTCTTGTCATCTGTCAACATAACATATTTTTGCGTGGCACAATGTTGATTGGCCAATGAGAGTACAATAGTATTGTTATTTTTAATGAATACATATGATTTTACTGTATTCCAGTTCCTTGTGCTATATACTAATCTTAGGTATATTTTAAATTATTAACGTTTTCATAATATGTTTGAGTTTATGACAAGTTTAGAAATACTGTTAAATGTAAGAGGTATTGTGCGATTAGCCAAATCACAGGAGTCCAGACGTAGCAAATTAATAAAAATACGTACATTGCTTAAAATCTAAAAAGTCACAAAATAACAAAATAATCGCCAACACTTTTCCAATATGGTGCAAATGTGTGACGTCATATTATACTGTCCCATGTTTTGGAACAAATCACCAGTATAGCGTCGATTCATGACGTCATTTGCATTGGACATCACACCGGGTTCTATTATGGAACATGCCCATCGTATTCTACGGATGAGATTGTATAGGCAACCCGACACGACCGGAGAGAGATTAGGTGTAACACCAACGGCTCGCTGTCATCGCGCCGCAAGCGAAACACACCGAAGCCTAAATCACGCTATCAAAAAATTCCGAATCATAAACAGTATATATAGAACATCTCCGAACTATCACACGGAGTGTTGCGCGCTCCGCGGGCAAGAACACCTTGCCCGGCGGGAGATCTCCCCTTTTCCTACCACGGCCACAAAGTAATCCGAGCATGGGAGTGAAACACTTCATGACTTTGTGCTGCTACTGAGAATTTCTCGACAGAAAACCCAATAACTGATTTTAATGATGAAAGACAATCGCGAAGGATAGTTAACCAACCTGGGTTGTTTGAGTACCAGCTTCTTCACCATCACTAGCTACTAAAAGAATTACTACAACGGACAGAACCACAATACTGTCATTCTACGAGTTTTAATACTCGTGGAATGACTTAGGCGTAATCTCTTGCGCACAGTGCCTACAGTGAACTTTATACTGCACAAAAGCGTGGGTTTTTTCCGATCTTCCCTTAATTCTACCTCAATACTGTCATTTTACGAGTTTTTATACTCGTAGAATGACAGGCGAAATCTCTCGCACACGGTGCCTACAGTGAAATT